NTGATTGGTCAATTTAGCGTCCCCCATTTGCCCATGGGTGTACGCTGCTGACGTGAGCAAATGCAAAGACTATTTTTCCGCGCGCGCTTGTTTTTTTCTGGTCACGTAAGATTTGTTAAACAAAAGGGAACTCTTTAGCTACAATGTGTTAATGTTATGTTATAAAACAAATGGTAAACACCACAGCGTACACTATTGAGTTATGGATGCACGCGGGAGGTTGCTAAGCACGAAAGAAGCGTAAGAGTCGCTCGAGGCGATAGCCGAGAGCGACTCTAGCTTCTTGAGTGCTTAGCAAACCTCCCAAGTGCATCCATAACTCAATAGTGTACGCTGTGGTGTTTACCATTTGTTTTATAACATAACATTAACACATTGTAGCTAAAGAGTTCCCTTTTGTTTAACAAATCTTACGTGACCAGAAAAAAACAAGCGCGCGCGGAAAAATAGTCTCTGCATTTGCTCACGTCAGCAGCGTACACCCATGGGCAAATGGGGGACGCTAAATTGACCAATCAGAGCGCGCGCTTTACTTTGGTTATGTTATAATTACAATTTTATCGGGATTTTAATTGCATAATGTACGCAGTTAAGTACACTATTTTTTTTCTCTTTATACTGCTTACAACGCAGTCTTAAACGAGATACTTAATTGTTCGCTTGTGTACATTTACAGACCATATATACAAAAATAATATTAAAAAAAATTAAGATTTCATTCTGAAAGAGGTCCATAACTTTACTGTCACCGTGAGGTCCTGGCGCAAGGCTACGAACGAGAATTACGCCCTCAGAATTCATATCGTGCTTCCTTTAGACTTAGCCATAAATATTAAAGGTTGCGTCGCGGCACTTGTCAGACGTACTGCTGGGAACTCAGGTTAAGTTTAATTCGTAGTTCACGGTCTAGGTTTTTATCTCTAGAAATTTATAAACTGCTATCGGCGACTCTCCTTTTCATTTCACGCTATCGATAACCAGAAGCACCGCTTATTGACATTAATCCTGTTTCTACGGGGCAATGTATGTAAAGAAATGTCCTCTTTCTAATATCACCAACAACTTAACTCAGAATCTTCTCTATAAAATGCAAAATGCTGTGAAGGACACAGCATTCATAAACGTATATTTTTTGGTTCTCGAATATACACATTTGTTTCGCACTTGCTGCATTTAAATCTTGTGTTGAACAAGAAAAGCATACGTTATCGTTACGAAATTGTTATCCCAGACTGTGCCTCCATTACTTTGGCGAAGGAACTTCCCACCAACCAGCGTGGAAAGAGGTAAATTGAACAATAATCCCGTGTTGTGGCACATCAGGACCCGAAGCTCTTTAGTCATGTTATTATTGCTCTATCGTGAAGCGTTACAGCTCGGCGTCGACCTCTGGGTTGATCAAAGAGCCTGGTAATCTTCTGGGATAGTTTCTATGAAGAGATGGAAAGGTTCTTGTCAGCGAAGCGGAGAAAATAGCTAGATTTCATTTCACTTGAATGTTTATCGTTCACCTAAGTGATTAGGGAGCCTAAGCAACCACGACGAAAGGGACGACGACGACGTCAAGTAATCGCGGAGGGTCTGGAACGAGGACGTCGTTTTTAGCGAGAAAATGAAATTTAAGCAGTGAACATGCTCAAGGACGACCACGTCTGAAATCTTGTTTATTCTCGCTTCGTCAGTTTAAGAAATGACATCGTTCATAGACGTCCAAAACCTTCTTCTCACTCATGGATCAAATTTCCACATATATATCGAAAGTTCGAGAGTAGGTTATTCAATTCTTGAACATCAACAGTCCAAGGAATTATTAAGCTTTAGCTTTATTTACAATAATTTACGCATCGCAAAAGTTTAAAATATTAAATTTTACGCAAGTTATTTGAGATTTAAATTCAGTTCTAAGTGTTGCTGATATAAACAAACCTATTTTGCACAAGGTTTGTCTGATTTTCAACATGCTTTAGCCTGATATGTTCTACCTTTGATGCTCCTTCCTTTGGCGAGCAAACGACGTAAGTCTGTCAATTTAATCGATGCTAGCTAGCCATCGGCACAGATAGCAGTCGTCGCGCTTCACCCAAGAATACTATTTTTTCCGGTGTGATTTTGTCGGAATAATTTTTATGGCTGTAAATCTATATCAAACATTTTGAAAATGGATTCGGAAAACCTGACAGGTATTCAAGCTCATGTTAACACACCGATCTGAAGAATTTTTGTTGTTTAAAGCGTCTCGATTGAAGAATAGCAACACGCAAAATTTTTAAGTAGCAATAATCCGGCAGTTCCATACACAGCTTTTGACCGAACGCAGTGGTGTATTACACTGCCATTCAAACAGCACTCTTTCATAAAATATACTCAAATAAATTTAAACCTTACGTGGTCGCTTTCACCGCTTGACTTTACATCTGTTGTGCGGAAGAAGGAATATGAGTTTGTGCGTTTTCGAATTTTATTTGTTTAGAAAACTGAACAGGGTGGTTTAAATCAAACGAAGAAGCGAATACAAACTCCAACCGGCCATAGACTGTCTTAAAACTGACAATAAACCCGCACCTTTTCATGAGAAAAACTGCTTTGAAGTTCGAAAGTTCTCGACGACGTGAAACAGGTCCTTCTCAAGTCGTCCACGACAAGACGACGACGGAATTCTTGGTTCGCGCTTGCGCAGTGACGTTCTTGCTACTTCCGGTCGTCGTCCTCCGTCCGTCGTCGTGGTTGCTTAAGCTCCCTAATATGGCTGTCGAGTGCACGACCTTAGCTAAGCTCTGCCTGCTAGACAGCCCCAAATGATTCAACAAGTCTGCAGTATTTTACCCACCAGAGGGGTCATTCATTTAAATTGATTCATTAAAAGACAATCGTATGCCTTCAGCAAAAGTGACGGCCATCTGACTGCCTGAAAGAAATTCGTTTAAAAAGTTTTCGAAACGCAACTGCCGCTACTAGGGGGGGGGGGGTGGGAACAACGGGATGGAGGGAGGGAAACCAATTTCTTTGTTGTGAGCCACTGCGAAATCCGAGGTAAATTCTTGTCAAGGGAATTTACATCGACACTTACCACTACATCTGTACGAGAGATTTTTCCACAGCACTTTGCCCTGTGAAAACACATACATTCCGACTTTGCCGCCTTTGAGAGTCTTGTCAATTATATATCCGGTATCCACTACCACCTCGCCTTCAGCATAAACGACCAGTCTAAAAAAATAAAGTTACAGTAAATTAATTGTGCAGTGGAAAATAATAATTTAATTACCGCCAGGTCGTTGACAACATCGACTGGTGAAAATCGAATGGAATTCGCCTTTCACAACTTTTCCGATTCAGTCACTTTCCTTCAGGAGAGTAGTCAGCTATAATGGTTTTGACTTACTTTATTAGTCCAATAGACGGTCTGTGTATTAGCCTAAATTCATAATCTGTTTCGTCCTTCCATCCTCTTTTGTTTCTGTCTCGCCAAATTTCTTTAATCTAAGGAAATATGCCACCCATATTAGTTTGTTACACAGACACTGATACAGTTCTAACGCATTGGTTTCTGGGACAAAGAGTCTCAGTCTATTTCAATCTCTTTTTTTGTTTAAATATTTTACTATTTCGTGGTACATCTGCAAGGAATTCGAAGTGTGATCTTAGGTGCAAAACTACAAGAAGTTCGCGTCGCTAACGCGGCAAATGCTCTTGCTGGGCTCCTACGAAGAGGCCCAAAGAACCGTCATTTTTAAGTTTTCACTTACTTCTCCATCTGTGTCACCAGAATGCCACAATGCGTTTCTGAGATCAAATCCAGGACCAGTTTTAGAATCAACAAGCTGGAAGGAAAAGAATAAAATTTCCTCAGTTTCCCATGTTCCGCAGCGTCGAAAATTACTTGTAAAATGAAAGGGGTGAGAGGGAAAGAGGGACTAGGCTCCAGCATATTTATGAACTGCCCACGTGAGTCACGAGTTTTCGTTACCGGCAATTGGCGAAACTTCGAAAATGGTATGGTAAATCTACAATTAATACGCTGAACTTTAACTCGTCTTTAAACTATAAAGTCTTTACTCAAGTAAGAATTACCTTAATATGTATTCCTTTCTTTGCTGTAGCCCTAAACGGTTTCACTTCCCAGTACACTTGATCATCCTGTTTCCATGATATGACGTAGAACCGTCGGTTGCTTTGGTAACTGAACACTAATCCCACGAAATCGTCATCATGTCTTGTTGCAACTCGAAGTGTTCCGTTGAAATCCACACCGTTGAACCGAACATTCCCTTAAGTTGAAAGAGAGTCATGAATTAGTTCTTTTTTTCCACTGAGGTCACGGTGTCAAACTTCCCAAAAAAATATCTCGGTTTGAGACCAACATTGCCCTATATGACTACTGTAAGGCAGGCAAATCATTCCACTTGATCAACCAATTAGATGCGACTCAAACTCTTACGCTTGGCCAGTTTTGCTTGGTTTTGACTGTTGTTTGTGTTGTCTGCGAAGAGTATTACTTCTACTCCTAGGAAACATACTCGAGAGAGAGGATTGTACCGTACTGGGCCATCTTACAGAGGGCCCTGCTTTGCTGTTGGTCAAAAACAGAAATTTTGTTCATGTCTCTTTGCTAACCTCAAGGTTATCTGTTATTTGGGTTGGCACGCAGCACTTCTACTGGGGTTGCCACTTAGCGCATCTGTGACACTTACCGACAGCAATGCCCGGATCACTGTTTTCCTCTTCTGATACTTGAGTCCCCTAAAAACACAGAAATCAGAAGCCGCAAGTCATTATTAACTAATAAAATGATAGATTGTAAGTTAGCTGTGGCACCTCCTCAAGATAGCTCTCCGTCCACAGATTTCCAGTTCAAAATTGAATTTTGTGGTTTTTAGTCTTTTTGTAAAGGAATGAAAAAAAAATACGCCCGAGAGAGAGAGACCCACGGAGCAAGAACATCAAACGGGAGTCAAAAATGGTTGAAAAGAGGTAAAGTCCAGCTGTAACGAAGCACGACG